GTCAGCATGCACGCAACTCGGGAACCGTTCGTTACCACAAAATTTAAACGAGTAAAGTTTGCTTCAGTTAACTTACTTCAGTGTCCGGTTTACCCCACTCTACTGGCTCTAGAGTGGGTGGGGGAAACGTGGCATTGATATAGGCTTGAGTTATGCACAAACAATGTTTGACCGCACTCTATGTTTTATTGAGGACATTCGTTTAACGTTTCTTTGTGGAGTAGAAATGTATTTATTGACAGTCGAGTCGTTGTTTATTTTTTGGTACACTTTCAAATGTCGGTTACATAACAATATTACTACTAGGTAGTGTTTTAAAATTAAATTCTTTGATGGGCGTTCTGCGCCTTTTTTTAACTTTGGATTGTCTAACCTAGTAATCTAATGTTATGTATATTATCACTTCATTATGCATGTAAGCATAATATGTGTTGTTTAATACTTCTATATGTCTGTGTATTTGTAATTATTTATATCTGGCAGCCCCGCTTTTATTCATGTTTAATCTCTCTCCATCCTAAGGTTGTCTGGAAGAAATCGCATTTTCAGTAATTTAGAAATTAAAGTCATAGGTACATGCCGCTACAGAGATTCGAACTGTCGGCCTCTTAAATGAGGAGCAAATGTTCTCCCCCGGGGCTACCACCGCTTTTTGGGTCCATTTGTGATACCATTTCTTTTCGAAGTAATGTTGTTCACAAATTGTTAGTAAACTAGTGTACTTTGAGAACTTTACGTTATAAAAAAAAATTCTTGAGCATATTCACTAAATTGTCTGCAAAGTTGAATTAGGAGCTCAAAACGTAGATATATGTATATATATAACTCTACATGCTTGCCTAGGGGCTTGTGTACTGTTTCGGTATTCCTATATAAATAGCTTTGTTAGGTAAAGCGAAAAGGAGATCTACACATACTGTACAAGCTACACAAAAGCCCAATTTATGTATAGCTATGCTTACGTGTTTGCTGCAGTCTGCACACTAGACGTTTCATCTTGCTTGATGGACAGGGTTTAACTCCCAGTGTAAGAATTTAGAACCTTTTCTTTATGACTGCCGGATACTTTCCAAGCTACTTGCGAAAATTTATCTCTTTTTTACTGCTGTTTATGTGTTGCTCTTTTTATTGCCTACCTTTGTTGGGTTGTTCGCTTTGAAAGTAGGAAAATTTTGCATTTTATACGGTTAGTTAAAGTTTTCTTGATGCCTTTGCGTTCTATCTGAGAGAGTTCTTTCTCTTTAGTTTCCCCTTCGAATATAACATTTATTTCTTCATATTTTTTTGCTGCAACAAAACATTGTATATCGGAGAGCACACGAGAAATCGCTTACTTCAATACGATTCTATAATTCTAGTACTTTCCCACGAGTCATGTAGACTTGACAAGTATATCAAATATCCTGCCTAGCAGGTTTGTTCTAAGAATTCTCTAACCACCCAGTAATGAGCTTGTTTGTACCGCTTCAGGATACCTTAGGTAATGTGTGCAAATTATGCACATGAACGCTTTGTTTACATCTAGATTTGTTACATATTGTGAGCAAAATGATGTTTTAGTTTTGATAGAAGTGATAAGTAGCAGAGAATTACAAGATTGAAATAATAAACTAAATTACAACATTCTAAACGATCAATCTTACTATTTATTAAAAAATATTTATAAGAGATACATATGCAAAGTAATATTTAAGACTTGTTATAAATGTTGTTGTTTTAATGTGAAATTGTAACCGATTCGTATCATTAATTACGCAAAGTTTCAGATAAGACGCTGATAAATGTGCTTATGTGCTTTTGTTTTGGCAACAATTTTCATTGGTGTTCTTAGCGAATTAGTTTCGTTTGGTCTCTATTTTCATTAATTCAATTGATAAATTAAAATAGAGTTCGTCAATGGCTCAGGTTTATAGACTCTGAATTGTACGAAAGATTTCGTGTTCGATTGCCGGTGGAACGAATTTAAGTCACGAACGTACGTAGTGGTACTTGAGCTACAAGGAACAACGGAGACTAAATGTAGAGGGAGTTAATTTTTGGCAAGTGAGATTATATTAAAACTGTTTTATTATATTAAAACGGTGATATTGCAGAATGAACTGACATAAGATCAACGCGTCCTCAGTCAGTCTGATATTGAATTACTCGCATCTAAAACCCGACTAGTTATCACATCAGAACTGCTATCACGAACTCCCAGGAAATTGAATGAGAGGGCTGAATGTGTGCCAGCCGTAATGGCTTCCCTGTTAACGACCACGGCTCGTCGACTCACATAACACTAGATAAATAATATAATGATGAAACATACGTTTAGAACCTTAAAAGTTTAGTTGAATAAATATTGAAATCATCTTAAATGTGGCTGTACCAAAAGAGTGTGAGAGAGTACATGTAAAGAAATAAAATAAAGTTTTAGGCTAGCAAACAACTGTTAAATTTGAAACATGTTAAAAACATATATATTTCAATAGAGAGCTACAATTAGACATGGTAGTGATTGCCTTTGTATTGCTGCTTACAATCAAAAAATTTTCTATTGTTCCACTACAACTAAAATAGAATATATGGGTAGATTGTATGTCTACAGCATAAAAATATTTGTTTAAACGAAGGTGCAATTAAATGAAATTAATGGTAGAGGCTTGAATGTATGTCAACCGTAATAGCTTCCCGGTTGCCAGACTCACTTCAATTAGGGCTAGACAGTACCCTTTGCTCCATTGACGTAACTTCTTTGTTATGAGGAACTATAGCTTCGGACTTGCGTAATCTTATTTAATGACGGAGTTAGTTGCCAGTCATTCCTTGCAATTGCCAAATGGTGATTCTGGCTAGTTATCCGAAGTAGATCTTGGCTTCCAATAATAATGGAACGCTTTTTTCTCTAGTTTTGGCTTCCTGTGTCAAATTAATATAATACGATTATGATACCAATTGAAAATTTGACATAATTTGATGTCAGTTTTTTAATATTGTTAAGCAGGTTGGCAAGCAACGAAAATGCCTGAATATGACGAAATTACCAGCATTTAGCGAACGTACAACACCACCGTCATCAAAAACAAAACTAATCCCTCTCTCAATTCATTTACCGCGACGATTATTAATCACCGAGCCATAATCCTCCCAAACATAGTATTCGTCATCTACGAACAGAAACATAACTTGTAGCAATCGTTGAGTATTAGTTGCGTAACCTCAAAGACTTGCTGAATCAGTCTCATCTGAGCGTGACTCGTACACAAACAGAGAGAAAACGTTCTGGCCGTGAAATGTTAAGGGCATGGTATCGATTTCAGTCGAGGTTATTCTGTTGTTCGTCTTAAAATTGTTCTCGAATACAGTTTGTAACTTTAATTTACCTACGGGTAATTTGCATTGCAATGTCTTTCACAGTATTATGTTTAAAAGCGGAATAGTTACTTCTACGTCACGTGATTCAAATTCATGTCGTGGTAAATTAGGTAAAAAGTTTCATAATTTTGGTATTGGTTTTGATAAAATTGTATGTGATTCAGTTTGACTGAATTTTGTCGAAATAGTCTGCGATACTCAGGTTCATCCTTTGACTACTTACACTATGTGAGAATTTTTCATAAAGGAAAGAGCGCAAAAGCTTAATATCCCTCTTGGAATAGTTTTTTTTCCTTTTTTTTATTTATTGTAGCTTAAAGAATCTGCAGCGTATTCGGATTGGTGTATTTTGGATTTGCAGGTGGCAATATTGATTTAGCTCAAAACGTTTGAAGATTTTGATACAAATTATCTTCAACAATTTTTAATTGACTGCCTATTACAATTTATATTGTTATCTCTATTGGTTATATTGTTAGCTCTAATAAACAAAATATCTACACAGAAAGGTGTAACATGGAAGTTACTGATAACTGTCATTGGCATTATCGTAAAGTAATGCCTGGTTGTACGTAAAAGCACATGAGCAAACAGATTCCACACACACTGACCCTGAACGGGCCAACGTCAGTTAGCAAACTGCTATCTATAGATAGATACTTGTATAATGGCTAGGGGGAGATGAACGGGGGGACGAGTTCAACGCACCGGATACGTCTGTCGCCGACCACAGGCCTCTATGGCTGTATGCAAGCGTTCAGGTGTGAGTTCCACCTCCTTTGTGTGCGAGTGCAATGTAACATTGACATAAATACTCCTTCGCTGTGTGCGCTGCACTCTACATGTTACATAAGCACAACTAGTTCCTATATACGGTAAAATTATTACTACACTTAGCACTACGTACGTGGGCAACTTGTGTTAATGTTTGATCTGTGTAGGCATTTGATAATCTAGTATGCAAATCAACTTCATAATAGGAATAGGGTCGTGAAAACGGATATGTTTATAAATACATGTTGTGTTATTACTGTATTAGCAACCATTCCTTGTTAATTATGATTACAATAACATCATGTTGCACGAGCGGCTTCGATAATATTTCATGCTCGTTCGCGTTTTTAATGAAAGAGCAAGGTTGTTTATTCCACGCGTGTTCTAATGATATTACACGTTTTTCCCACCTTATCGTTAGTTCTGTGAATGGCAAACAAACCTTCAGCTAGGCGGTGTGTAACTACTTAATTTGTAAGTTTTTTACACAGGTCAAAAAACTAATCTGAACTTTTTTATCTGCTGTCGATTTTTTCATTTAGAAATGCGTTCGAAGACTGTTTGTTTTGTTTGAAAGTTTTATTACTTTCACTGCACCTTTTTCAATCAATTCTCAATTTACTCTATAATTTTATAGAAATTGAGCGATGTTTCAAATAGAACATGAAATTAATTTTAAAAGTTTTAAGCCGAATTGCTGCTAAATTAATTTTTGTATTTCGTAACGAACTAACGTTTGTACAAAGGTTTTTCTTATATTAGTAAATTCATGTTTCGAATACGTTCTGGTATTACTTGTTAAATGTTTGGGTTCGGTAAAGTAAGCTAAGTCAATTTTCATTACTTTTAATTTTTGGTCTGTTTCGCAGGAATGGGACGGGCGTTTAGGGGGTGCAGAAGCTGGGATCGATCCAGCTACGCTATCAGCTTTATCCACTGAGGCATCTGAATGGCGAACTACACAGGATGGGCAGCGGATTCTGACCACAACCCCCTCAGTACTGGGGGGATGCCGTGCTCAAGTGTACAGGGCAGCCGGAGCCACGCAGTGGTACACCGCTGTTATCGTCGGTGTCAACGAACATACTGGCGTACGTATAGTTTTTCTGACTACTAACAACTATACTATAATACTATAATATAAACTATATTAGTTACGTTAGCGGTGCATTAGTAGTATGACCATTCGATAATACTATTCTAGACAGGAGAGAAAGAAGTATGTCAAGGTAAGAAGCCTCTTTCTGCAGCCAGTAGACATCTATTAGTGCATTTATACGCCTATAGTGTATTTGTGTGTGTATTGTATATTGCAGGTTTTCGCTTCGTTGTAAGATACCGTTTACACTATCAAATAGAAATGAAACACACAATCACCATTCATGGTCTCAACAAAATCTTACACAATCTAGAAAGTTGTATACGGGTAGGGAAATTTTACATTTACCCATAGAACAGGAATTCAACTTCTCCAAATGCTTTCGAGGCAGTTGTAAAAGAAATCTAAAAATTATTTTTAAAAAAATACCCTACTGCAAACATATTTAGCTGGAAAGATAAAAAAATATTCACAGCTCACTATTTTGATTAATTTGTATAGCCTATGACACTCCCACAATCAAGACGAACCTAACGACACCTCATATGTCAAATTCCATCTAGCCGTTTAGGCTGTAGAGCGCGAAAAATAAACGGACGTACATACATACTTACACTTGAAAAACATAAACCTCCCGCAGTCGTATAATTAAAGTGCATTCTTACCGTCGACATAGTTGATATAAGGACAAGACAAAGATACTATAATGCTTTTGTCTAGGTACAATATTAACTGGTGTTAATCCACTAGAGACCATTAATAACAACAACAATAGGATTAAGTGCCGGGTATGTTTTTATAAATACTTGCAGTGGGCGGTACTTCAAACAAATTACTTTCTTTTTTTCTTTAGTCTGATAATATTTGCAAATTTAAAATATAGTAATTTTTTCATCAGTATACGATTTATGATTTAACTTAAACTTAAAATTTGACGTATATTTTATGATTTGATCTATAAGTAATGTAAGATTTCACATCTGAAACTTTCAAAACAAACGAACTCTAAATTTAAAATGATTCTTTAAATTTGCTATCTAATAATACACAAAATCATGAAAATATGTCTGGTATTACGTCGTAGTACAAAACAACATGACATCGGAATATCTCCTTTATAATAAGATAATCTTTTTTAGGATATAGTTTATTACAACTATTGTTTATATTCAAGTGGAAACACTCCAGGTAACGTTGAACCAGCTGTACATAAGTAGACCATAATTTCGATCTCGCACTCAACAATACAAAATAGACATTACAATGGCAATTTCAAATGAATAAACAAATTTTGCAAAACATTCGAAGGGTTGCAAGGCCAACAATTATTACACAATGGATGACTGACGATGAATAGGTGCCATCAATTGTTACGCAATTTTACGTGACCATGATCCCATTATCACCTTCTCTATTCATAAAGCGGATACGTTCACCACAACTCCATAGTAATGTGTCAAGAATGCTTAGTCATCCGTTACATAAAAACCACAAGAATATAGACTATGTATGTATATGGCGATAAATATGGGAAGGAGGTAGATCATATTTACAGTGTCATAGCTAACCTGTGATCATATTTATAATTCGATCTAACGTTCTCTTCATAGAATTAATCTAATTATAATTTATTAGTAGCTTCAGGGAACTTATAAAAGCTTATAAAGTTTAGGGGCGTAACTGTAAAGAGTTGTGCTAGATAATCTTGAACCGGGAAGTTCTGGATGAAACCAGTTTGGTTTATTGAACGCGATGGCATCCAAGCCGCTTTTATAAGGTACAGGTACACCTTGCATAATGCGTATATTCGTACAAGGAAACCTGTAAGTGAAACACGCAGCGTAGGCTAGGCCCGTAAATGCCTAAAAGGAATCAACTTCCCACCTGTCGTAAGGTTTTATTAATTGCGCCCTAATAGGGATAATAGTCACGTCGATTTATGTATATGGAACCAGTTTGATTGTGGAGACTGGTTAGACTGGATTTTATTGTATATTTTACGAGTTGATATTGATTCAGGTTTCGACAGCTTGCATTTAATTGGTATGTTGATACCCAGATACACAGCTGGTTTTTTTTTTTTCAGTACTCCATATTTATTTTTAAGACATTTTTATTTTAAATTCGAAGTACTATGCCTACGTAATATGAAATTTCTAGCACTTTCAAATTCTATTTCATTGGTAAATTCCTTTTAACAAGGTTCAAGCTCTGTATATTAATGTTAAACACAACAATGTTTCAATAATGGGTTGCTATACCCCTTTGTAGTGGGTGGGAGTGGATCCCCCTGTTCACCCTTTCCAACTTAACTAAACAAACTTTGTTGTTTTGCTTTATTGAAACACTTTATTGTTTTTCTTTCATCTCCTTTGAGGACGGTATGTATCGAAACTCGAATAAGTTTTTAAAGAATTTGTTCGGAGGCTAGGTGTCGTTAAAAGTTTCTTGTTTTCTTTATTCAGTTCATGCCATACTTGTGCAGTTTAAGTTTATAATGCTTTTAGTTTGGTAAAGTTGAAAACTATTCTGGAAAGACTCATAAATTTTGTTTATGTTTTTTATTTCTTTTTTAAGACATTCGTCTGCCTTGAAGTTAAGTAACGTCATTTTTTTTTTTTTTATAATTTATCGGTAATATGGTTTAATGATCTATTACAACCTTTATTTTGTAAGTTGGATCTGTTTGACATTGATTTGTTAACAAATGGTGATTTTATTTTGACCTTTTAACGTGTCTGAACTCTGAATAATTGCAGTACCTATCAAATTTTTTAAATTACCAAGCACTTTCATCTATCTGGAACTCTTCAGTAATTACAGTTAAAAAGTTGAGACAAAAACAAATTTATACTTGGAATCAGCGAGTGGAAAAGTTGCTGAGTTTCGTATTACCGTCCAAGACGTCAAAGTTTTGAGTAACCCCCCATCACCCTCCCTGGTTTCGCTAGTAACTTCGTAAAAGTTCTTTGTTTCTAGCGAGTTGGTTCAGAAGTTGTTCGTTGCCGACGACATGTTTATCGACGAGCGTATGCTGCGTAATAGGCGTTAAACAACTTTTTCTGTTGATTCTATAAATAAACTAACTGCTGAGTAAAGGAAATGCGATATTTAGTAATGCCAATGTAAAAGTTTCTCATTTGCTGTCGGGGTGTTTGATTAGCAATGTTCGTTTGCCAAACTTTGTTTAGAATATGACCCAACAGAGTAGGTTTAACTACATTTGAAATATACTATACACACTATACACAGGCTCGTATCGTATCATCTCCTTTTTAGCAATTTAGTACTTTACGATTACTGTAGTCTACCCCTGCTTAACCTTTAAAGTATTTTAGTGGCAACACTACGTGAAGTCGAGCCGTAGTGGGGAATTCGGATTGGTTGAAAATTCTTTAGCGAAGTCATGACCAGAAAGAAATTATTTAGATCAATTTAAATTCCCATCCATTCCAATTTAGTTTCCCTGTTTTTAACCAACTTCAAAAAAGAAGGGGATTCTTAATTCGACGCATGTTTTTTTTGTATGTATGTTACGCGATAACTCCGATTGTGAACCGATTATGATGATTCTTTTTTTGTAGTGGTCCCATTTAAAGACCACCCTTAGGGTCGTATTCTAGAACTCTACTATGCTCAAGTCAGGATTTGAGTATGGTTTAAAGCACTCGAAATCATACTCAAGTCCTTGCCACTAGGGTCGTATTTCCAGTGCTTGAAATCATACTCAGATCCTGACATGAGCATTGAGTAGAGTTATGGAATACGACCCTTAGAGTTGGAAGATTTAAGAAAATATTCCAACTCTAAGGGTGGTAAACTAGGGGAGGATCCGGTTTCGCGCACTTTCCGGTAACCGATTTCAATAGAACTTGGCAAATAGATGTAATTGCAAGAACTGCCTCCGTGGCCGAACGGTTACCATGCCGGACTGCCACGCAGAGGTCCCACGTTCGATTCCCGGGCCGGGAGAAATAGTTGTATGGCCTACAATTATTTCTCTCGTGAGTTTGGGTGTAATTTGTGGCTGTCTATGTGTGTGTCCATGGCACCCGCGACACAGGGTTTTCCCTAGTGCGGGGCTATGTTGAGTGTGTGCGTTATTTAAAAAAAAAAAAAAAAAAAAAAAAAAAACTTTTAAGGTCGGTTGTTTTAGTACTCTCTACTGAGATTATTTAACACGTGGATTTCGAAAACATTCCAAAGATCTAAACTCCCAAACTCTTCTTATTCCTATGATCCTCACTACACGTGAAGGTACGTACTAATGGTACTAACACTGTATAAGTTGTACCAGTACAACGGTCGTGGTGATTACCTGTCCAGTCACAGCCAGAAACATTTCACAAGTTGATTGATGTGTTAAAATGCACGTGTTCTTATAATATTTGTAACATTACGTTTTTGGTGCGATCCAACATAAAACAGATAGGCCTCTCTCTGTTTATGGGTAGCAACGCCGTGTGAAAATTTAGATGGGAATTTCTAGAATTCTGTTTATACCTATACATACGTTACGAATATTAAACATATGAAGACATAGAGTAAACTCTGTAAATGAGGATGAGAATTTATTTATTATTGTGAAAGGATTTTTAAAGGGAAAGTGGAATATTTATGTATAGATACGCACCAAAATTCAGCAGTCGTTACAAATATTTTCATGTTTTATATAAGTAGTCTTGTTTATCGTTTTATTTTTAGATTGAAATTCTAAATTTGAATATATTTGTTTGTAACGCCTCTTCTTTGATTTGTCATTGTTTTGTATGTTCTTCATGCTCGTGCGCATCGTGTACTTTGTTTCTGTTTTGTAAATAAACCGTAGGCACATTTTCGCTTATTCCGCGTTAGCGGCCGAACACCATTTTTACAGTTCGCTGTAGGTAGTGTATGTATGTGAATTATTTTGTAACATAGATAACTATTTATTTTGTATAACGCTTGAGTTCAAAATTTTATGTTCTGGTCCATGAATAAATACTATTATTCTTAAATAAGTTATGTAGTTTCGCAGTGTTAAATACACTTGTTTCTACTTGTAATCAATTCTGTGTGTTGTTTTTGTATTACATAACCCTAAACCACGTTTTGCACTAATGAATGTATCTACGTTTGTTTTGCATTCGCAGGAGCTGACAGTGACCGATGACACTGTTTTGGAAGAGCACAGTGAAGATCCATCACTGGTGCAGATGAGACTCCTCGGTGATGGAGGTAATTATTAATCATTGAGATAAATGCATTTTATATATTTACAAATGCAGCACTAGGATTTATATTGCCTCTTTAGAATTTAAAAAAAAGTCGTAGAAAAATTGTAATGGATTTTTGTTTAATTTTGGGAGGAAATATGTTCAATTTTGAACCCACTTCAAAAAAGGATGAGGTTCTTAATTCGACTGTATTTTTTTTGTATGTATGTTATGTGATAACTCCGCCATTTGCGAACCGATTTTGATGATTCATTTTTGTTGGGAAGAGGGTACCTCAGTATTGGTCCCGTTTAAATTTGAAGAAAATATTCCACCACTGAAGGTGGCAAACTAGGGGATGAATCCGGTTTCGCGCACTTTCCAGTAATCGATTTCGATAAAACTTGGCAAATAGATGTATAGAGATTATGGAATAGGCAGATGTATATCAAACTATTATTTTACATGTAAATAATGATATTAGTAGCAGTAGCGCTCCTTAGGAAAGACTTCGTCCAGAGAGGTACTGCTACCTTACCTATTACTGCCGCCAAGCAGTAATATCAGTATTACTAAGTTTCGGTTTTGAAGGGTAAGGGTGCTGGTGCACTTACAGGCACATAAGACTTGTCAACTTATGTCTCAGGGTGACAGGCGCCCTGGCGGTGACCCTCAGTTCTTTGCGATTTAAAGCTCTGAGTGGCACTGCAACTATTACGGACAGGCGTGTCGCTTACCACCAGGCGCACGATTTCTTCGTTCCGTCACTTGGTATCATAAAAAATATAAATGATAACATATTTATAAATCATATATTCACTTTCATCTTTAAAAAATATGTTGTAATGCTTATTTTAAACGAGAAAGTCGATTATTTTCGTGTATTTGTTCAAAAATTTTGGAGCCCGAAAATTTTTTTGTCGGGAGTTCGCTATTCAAGCTCCCATCCATATTCATTTAATTTTAAAATACGTTTAATATTCCATTAGCAAGTTTTTCGATGGCAAAGTAGAATAACAACGATCGCCAGAGGGTGCTTCTGTCTAGAAAATTAATTGATGTCTTATTTAGCCACCGACTTTTTAGAAGAGTTTGTGATTTAATATTTAACTTCGGAAGTAAAACATTTTAAAATGCTTTCCACGTTTTGGTTCTTAAAATGTCGCAGAATAAAAGTATTAAAAAAAATTGTAATATGAAAAAAGAGGGTCGGAATTAGAAACCGTTGTGTGTCATTTAAGTGATACATACATATCCCGGTGTGTCATACAGCATATTTTATAGCCTCTAGCTCATTGAAATTTGTTATAAAACATAGTTCTTTAGTCTGGAGCGCTGCTTTATATATATATAAGATATATATAGCAGCACTCGAAAGAGGCTTTATAATCACCTAGTATTTTCACAATTTTTTAGTCGATAACAAGGTTTTGTTCGAATTATATTATAATAAAAAGGTAACTATGTAAGTACGACACTTCAATTACATTGTTCTCATAACAAGGCGTTTTTTTAGAAAAAAAAAACTATTATAGTTTGACCTCCTTAATTGAAAGCATAGAAAGCGAGGAAGTTTAAATGTCACGTCAATTTATTATTGTCCATTTCTTGACTTTCCACTCCCGAATAGTCGGGAGAATCTCTATGACCGTAAACGTTTGAAAGAGATTATAAAATAGAATGTACAATTTTTTGTGTCGCTATTGTTCATTTGTGTTGACTGAGCTTAATCACATGATTCCATTTCGACAGCAATAATTCAACTTCAATTCAAAGAGCTATTAGAATGCAGTCAGCAAGACGGCATACCGGCAGATAGTCTGTCGGTAGTCGTGATTAAGTTTTTTTATATGAAACAATAAGTACGCATTTGACCTTTGACCATCTCACCTGACGGAAAGTGACGAAGAGATCGACGATGGAGCTTGTATAATCACACACCTAAATAATGCCTATTCACTCTCGTCTTGAAAAGGTCCAAGTTATAGCGTTATAGCAGTCTGTACGCAGGGAATTCCACTTAATAATTGTTTGCCATATAAATGTAGAAGCGCAACGCTTCGTGCTAATACTACATCCAAACTGTTTGCCAACTGCATCATTCTTGCAGTTTTGTAGTTTACGTGCAGTAAAAATAGGGCTGGTGTAACTACACTTATTGTCATATAATTTTAGTAGCAGCACAGCTCCTCGTGAAAGAGTTCGGACAGGGAAGTACTGCCACCTTACCTATTTCTTCCGCCAAGCAGTATTGTGAGCATTACTGCGTTCCGGTTGTTAACAGTAAGGGTGCTGGTGAAATGACAGGCGCAGTGCTCCTCAGATCTTTGCGATTTGAACCACTCAGCGGGCATTGCAACTGTTATTGGTAAGCGTGTAACTTACAACCAGGCACACAACTTGTTCGTCCCGTCACTTGATATTATGAAAATAAATAAAAAGAAGTAAGTTTAGTCTATCTTTTTAAAGATGGAGTTAAATGACAGTTTATCGCGCTAAAGTGTTGCCCGCTTGCAAGCAGTTAGTGATTGTAGTCGATATTATATAAATAATATCGACAATCGACTAGATGTTGGTCACGCTTATGCAATAAATGGCGAACTTGTTTCATTTGAATCGTCATTGGCCCATTATTCGTCCAACTGCCGGGCACATGTCACTTGAATTGTCAATTTTTGTAAGTTAATACACTGCATTTGGAACTATGTTTATAAAAAATATAGAGAGGAGACATATTTTCAAGTTTTTTATTTAAATTTAATATGAATAGGTATACTCAAATCCGCTTTTTCTTGTTAAAATGTATATGAATAAAAATTGATTTCGATACTAGTAGACCAACTGTCAAAATAAGAATGAAGAAGTCAAGTACGCAATTATTAATCATTAGAACGTCGTATTATTATATTTATATATTTTTATTATATTTTGACAAAATTTTACCTTCTTTCACAATCTATCGATAAAAATGTTGGCAGCGATTAAAATACATACCTATTTAAAATTTCGTGAAAACTGGCAACCCTGTCATGTCATTTTACTTTGTTCAAAAAAGACACACTATAATTATCTGTGTTATTGCCTACTTATATCTCAATCTACAACTTTGACGTAACCTAGGACGTTAAAGTTTCTTTTTATCTCATACAAAATATTTTAATTTATTTATACACAGTATAAATGACATAATATTACACAAGTACGTTAAATATAGACAAATGACTAGACAAGTATTTACTAACTTAAGCATAATTGGATGTAGGAAGCCATAAAACAGTTAGAGGTGTTATTAAATCCATTGCTTGCGTTTCTACATGTTACTCGTTAAGTAATAACTGAGGCGTTTAGTTCTTGCAGAAATGCCATCGTTTGTTGTCGTAAAAGGAAATTTAAATTAGAACTCCAAAAACGGAAACTATTAACACCTACTTGATTTAATAACATTGGTTTATCTCATTTTATAGATTAATGCATTTAAAATAGATTTCAAGGTAGGCGACAGTTAAATGTCAGTCATAGGAAATAGAATTGACCTGGTTACTAATATAAACAGAAACACAGTAACACTTAGGCAATGCAAATTCGGACCATATTTGATAATACGGATTTTTTTTTTCGGAAAACTATGAGAATTCAATAGATTCGCGATTTACACTACTTCGTAACTGTCAAAAAAAATTTGACAAACGTAAGTGTTTAGACGTAATATAATTTTCAAATTTAAAAATTTAAATTAATCTTTAGAATGGTAGAACGTCAATAGATTCATCGTTTACCAGCTGAGCATTTTGTTGCACAGAATTCCAAAATTCTATTTGCGAAAGTGTGAATAAAAATATTTAAAAAAAATAAGATTTGATTTTAAAATTCGCATTCAAAATCTAGTAAAATACCAAAAAATCCGGACTTTTTGAATTATGAATTATCAAGATTACATTCCTTTGAAACACTTACTGTTTATTTTAGGTATTTTTATTGATACTGAGAATTATAATAATAATAATAATAGCAACAACGTGCCAGACAATCGTACCAATTACCTTGTCTCAAACTAGAGAATTGCTTGTACGAGTGCTATGAATACCATAGCAACGGATTTCACTCCGGGGCTCTACCCAGAACGAACTAAAACCAGTTTAGAAAAAGATAATTTTTGTAATTGTACTGCACCCGTAATTCTATCTCGTAAGTGCTATTTCAGACCAAGAAGTCTTTTGTAGGGTAAATGATAATTCCAAATACAAAATAGGATTTTTGTCTAGATTTTAATTGGGTATTCTTAGAAAGCTTTTGATATTATATGTCTGACCTACTTCAACAATCAAGTTTTTCAAATACTAGTTTGTATAAAGAGTAACCAAAAGGTTAACATGTAATACTAGGAATAACATCCGAGTGGCGACCGCGTACCGGAAAACGCAGTGGGCTAACCACCCAAAAGTTGGACCGACAACCTGGTGATGGTTGCGGGAATCGTTGTGATCTTTGGGGGATGCCTATTACCAGTAGTGGACATTATTCGGCTGAAATGATGATAATGATACAATGGACGAGATTGGATCTCCGCGACAGGGTATTCAAAATACAGTGAAGTTGTTCTTTTTAATTGTTTGTTAAGTAAGTTTACTTCTTTCACAGTAATCGAATCCATCATGAGAGGAGAAGTGGTTGGAGTTATGCCGAGAAGGTCGCGGTCCAATCTTCAAGTAAGTCTTTTTTCTATTTTCTTCTCTCCACACGTTGATCCGATTTTATACACGATTTCAGTGGGTGTAATTTTATTTAATAAGCAAATATTAGTAGAACAACTGTTTTTGGTTACTTTATTTATTATTGCAGTTACATTTGTTTGAGTTATTTTGAGGCGAGTGCTATTATACGAGTATACACTAACTTAACCAGTTTTAAAATGACACGTGCTTAAAAATGTGTGACTTTTCATACTAAATTAACCCGACTTTGGACTTGAATATTTTGAAAAAAACCATCATTATAGGGAACAAAAATAAATTTAATAAAAAGACACAGAAGGAAAGTACTGCCACCTTACCTATTTGTGCCGCCAAATAATAATGGGAGCATTACTGCGTTCCGGTTTGAAGGGTAAGGGTGCTGGTGAAATTACAGGCACAGTGGACTTGTCAACTTATGTCTCAAGGTGACGGGCGCAGTGGCAGTGCCCCTCAGATGTTTGCGATTTAAAGGTCTGAGTGGCACTGCAACAGGCTTGTAGCCTACCATCAATCGCACGACTCGTCCGTCCCGTCACTTCATATTATAAATAAGGCACAGGGTGGGAGACGCCTTAATAGTACTACTGTACTATTAAGGCCGTATATTAAAAAAAAATAATTAAGATGAATTTCATAAAGATGACTGCTTGATAGAGTATAGATACTTTAAATTGTTTTACATTTGTATTCTTGATAAGTAGGTCCACAAATATAAATTTAAATAATAGAAAAAACAACATCCAGCTTCAAAGCCTCAGTTTATTGCTAAAACTTGTACTGTATTTTTACATTTAGTAGTCTGTTTTTTTTTCTTTTCTTAGCCCCGCGCTGGGAAACCCAGTATCACGGGTGCCATGGACACACACATAGATAACCACAAATTGCACTCACGAGATAAATAAATGTAGGCCATAGAAATATTGCATCCGGCCCGGGACTCGAACCCGGGACCACTGCGTGGCACTCCAGCATGGTAAACGTTTGGCCACCGAGGCATTTCGGTGAGTGGTTGATAACTGGTAGAGATAGAAAATGGGACCATATTATCACGAACTAATTTTCAAACCAATAATAGATTTGATAACTCCAAATGAAATGGATCCAATTTATATTACTTGTCAAAGAAGCAGCGGAGGCGAACGTTTATTTCCATTGATGGCCCCTCTTAGGCATTTTTAATGCGTGTCATGTCTTCGTCTGGTCTATTTTTGCATGGTCGCGACGTGAAGTGACTCATGAGCTTGTTTTAGACGTATCCTGCGAATATGCCATGCTAAATGTAGCTAAATGGCTAATTAGGTACGAGCGATAGTCTTTCAGGTATAGTAGATTTTACAGTTAAATAAATAAATAAATAAATAAATAACGCACACACTCAACATAGCCCCGCACTAGGGAAACCCTGTGTCGCGGGTACCATGGACACACACATAGACAACCACAAATTACACCCAAACTCACGAGAGAAATAAATGTAAGCCATACAAACATTTCTCCCGGCCCGGGAATCGAACCTGGGACCTCTGCGTGGCAGTCCGGCATGGTAACCGTTCGGCCACGGAGGCAGTTTTATGGTAAATACTAATAAATAGATCAAACATTATGCGTGGCTGCTAACAAATGGGCTGCATGTCTACAGTTAATACGTGCAGTCATGATCAATTGCATTCAATCGTAGTTTCAACTACAAGCGTCGACTACAGTCCTATTTACGACGATAAGCTCTAATCTAAACTTCATAGTTTAGCCCACTGGCGCAAAGTAGCCCGTCTGTCGGTTTTCTAACTGAATATATTTCGGTGAGTGTGCCCACTAGCTCCAACAGCTCATCCCGCCCGCCCCCTTTTCCATCGGACATCATGACATCACATCCAGATGTAGAGCGGTATATCATCCTTACTTGCATCCTTACTTGGTCGATATTCCCTTCAGGGGTACTAAGCGCTTTTCATCATCTTTTGTTATGCGCACAGCCCAGGAAATACATTTACCTATTTCTGCTACCAAACAGAAATGTGATCATTACTGCCTTTTGAAGTGTGAGGGTGCTGGTGAAATTACAGGCATATGGGACTTGTTAACTTACGTCTCATGGTGACGGGCGCAGTGGCAGTACCCCTCAGATTTAAAGCTCTGAGTGGCACTGAAACTGTTATGGACAGCCGTATCGTTTACCACCAGGCACATGACTTGTTCGTTCCGTCACATGATATTATAAAAAAAATAAGATCTGTTTCTGTGCCATAAATTGCAACCAAAATTTGTGGAAAGAAATAAATTTTAATATTATTATAAATGCGGGTAATGATTTCGTTGATCTTTAGCAAAGTACAAGCCTACTAAACTATATTGAAAACAAAAATAACCAGCAACAATACCTCCCTCCTTGTCATAAACAACGCATTTGGATTTTGGTAACTCTCTAAATATTGGTACCTAAAGGTTTTTGTTTCTGAAAAATGACAATTGCACTGATTTGGCTTAACAATAAAACTAGAACTAAATAAAATATAAAAAGCCGCTTATAGCAGGTTGTAGATCTCGTATCGCTGATTCCAGATTCGGGGACGCAATTATGCGTAACTAGCATTTGATTACGAGTCTCTATTTCGGTAATCTAGTCGCCAAATCAAATTCGCGTCAATGTCGTGGCAACCAAGTTAGCGTGATTTACGGGAGTCTATTGTTATTAATCCGTAGACAACATAAATTAATGCTTACTATGCAAAAATGAAACTCGTAGCCATTGAAATAACAAAGTCATAACCACAGGTCATAACGTTAAATCCCTCTCCTGTGAAAGGACAATTGCAAACTCCCTTATAAATTTTTGTTGACATAATTTTTATGCGTCTGTTTATGAAAAATATGTGAAAATATAGATTTGAAATTCGTGAACAAATTTTGTTTTGGGTTTACTATTCTGAGAAGTCAGCAATGAAAGATATTCCAGTTTGAAGTTTTGGAGGTTATAGGTTAGGTAATTGAATAAAATATGTTCGGTGTATTATTATATCACAATAAACTAGAGAAGCCTTAAAAAGAGTTAATAGAAGCTAAATGGTGCCGTGGGTTTGTGATGTGACGAAAGCTCAGAGGAAATTATTTTGTATACGGTATGGTCAAAAGGCATGTAGTTGAGCCATTACAAAAAAAACTGAGTTTATTATATATTAAAATTAATAACATACCGCTATTGTACTGGTGACCAAGATACAAATTATTTTTTGTGAAACGTGCCATCTATCCCTGATTTTGGGAACTTTTTTGTCAATTTTACCATTGTCTCGCGTGGCATTTTGAAGAAAAAATTATCGACTTTATTTTTTGTAGTGAAGTAGTTAAATCTTTTATTAGCTTATTACAAATCGGTCGAATCAGTACATTTGATATTACGTCAACTAAATGTGGACCATATCCATACATAAGCACTGAAATTCCTATTTTGACTCAACGTTAAGAAACTGATAGTTTTAGATGTCAGTCCGGTTACATACTAATTAATCATTAGAGGCTTTTTAAATATGATTTTTTTTTTCAGACCTAGATAGCCCGCTATTATAATTTGAAAAACCTAATGAATTTATTTTAATCAATCTTGTAATTAAGACATTTGAAGACGCTAACGAATACTTTTAACCATGATTTTGCCATTGTTCTTTGTACGATATGTCAATAAGTCAATTTCTTTGTTGCTAAAAATGTATATGACGTTGTTTATAATAAGTACGGCAGTATACACTAATTTATCAGTAAAAAAAACCTCTAAAATTGCCTTCTGTACAAATTATCCGGCCCGGAGCAGTACTACCTGCACCAGTGAACTCATTTGAATATTGGAAGTTAAACTAAGTTCAGCCGGCATTGTTTTAAACTAACGTTAATCACAACGGTTGAGTTCGACTTGAGTTCGTGACTGTACAAGTGAACCGTATGTTTTGATAATTAGATATGCAAATTTGCTTTGTAGAAGTATGCTAGGCAGAGTTGGATACTGTATATTTTAGAAGGTGAACAGCAGCTGTTATTACAACAACTCGCTTTTATCCGTGAACTTCTTGACATACGGCAAGAAACTTGCGTGGTAATCAATAACAACTTAGTCCCTTTACGGTTCATAGTTCGATACACTATAATTATGTAATTGCGTTTATCCAAACCTTACCATTTATTTACAGTAAGGCGAGATGTGCCGAGTCACCAGACACAGAAACACACAAACAGACAAACAAAAACAGTTTTCAATTACCTAGCTTCAAATTAGACATTTGTCTGTAATTATGCAGCCTATTGAAAGCTGTCAGATTACTGTAGCACTAAAACTTCATAAGTACTAAGGGTTAGTAGTTTATTATTATTATTATTATTATTAATAACAAACTAATAACCAAACACAAAGAAAAATTACTTGTACCCAACTGGACTGGAACTAGCGTCTATTGCCTCAACGTGGCTACCGTTCTTACCAATTGAGCTACTGATCAAGCTAGCAGACGTTTTAAATTTCTCTGTGTGCATATAGGAGTTAATTTCTATCGCTCGTTTTTGTCAAATAGTCATTTCTATGACGTCACTCTCCCCCTTTGTCCACCCTATTCTGTATACGAAAATGTAATTGGGACGTCTCGTATATAAAATTGTATTTAGCGTTAAAACAAATTAAAGGTGATATTGAATAAACAGTATACGTTTTTCCTTTTCCTTACCAGGTGTGGTAGTCTATCTACCACACCTGGTCTCAAACTGGGTAATTATATTATTTGTGTACTTGAATTAACTCCGAGACACTATCCAGAACGCCTTAAAGGTTTTTGATACCAGGTTAGTTACACGGAATGTATGTAACAAGTTTATTTTAAATGTTTCCACGCGTACATAAATTTGAGATAAAGTCAATTAAATTTTATTTCAATCATTAAATAATTAATGATAATGGCGTGTGTACAACAGTTAATGGACACTAAATTTCCCTA